AGTCGCAGAGTGTTTATTCCAAATCCGTGTCGGCTGTATATAAAGAGAAAATCATTCAAACGCTCTCGTTGCCAAAATACGAACAAACTCTCGGAAAGTTGGTATGAAGAAAAAGAAACAAAATAATGGCACATTTTTATACGTTTTAAGACCACAATTTCTCACCAACCTGTCCTATTGTCGTGCGTGTGGTCATCTGGCAGGTTGTTGTGAAGCAGCTGGCCCCCGCCGCCGCCACCACCCACAAACCAGTTGACATTGGCGTTCCACTGGTTATTGTACCCGCACAGGTGAGACTCCTCAAAGTCGCAATCTACGTGCACGAGAGTGAGAGGGGAGTGGATATTGGGGAGTGCGTCTTTGTATGCAAACTCTTTCTGACCATCTTTTTCCAGCGCTATGCTGCGGACCGGAGGACCGCATTCAAGTCTCGTATGTTTTCCCACCCAGAAAAATTGTCAATGAGCACCAGCTGAGCGCTGAGCGGAACCATATGGAGAAGACTACATGACACCTGTCATACAGATTAGGCTCAAAGTCTGAAGGCAAGTAAGTGTGCTGGGCAGGTCGGAAATGTGCAACACGCAGATGGGAATTGTTGATATGAAGCCTCAAATCCAGTTGGATTGATGGACTGAATGCATGTGCGAGTGAAGGAGTGACATCACCAACCCAGGCAGTATCCGGGACTAATGTGGATCTGAAAAATGGCTACGCTGCTCCCAGACGTCCGCCCAGGTATTCCTTCGATAACGATCTAACAGACAACACATGTCAAGTCACCGTCAATATGACGTACCGTGGGGTGTCGTCGCCGTACAAAAGCACGAGAAGAAAAGATGACAAAAAACTGGAGAGCGCATATGGCGGCTTCATTGAATGGCACACTCGCGATGACGCAGAGGGACTTTATGTTTTACCCGAGCGGTCTCGGTGCTGTTGGACAGGTCCATGCTTGCGATGACCCAGCTGTCCGACGGCATTTGGCTGCTCCACAGCGGCCTGTCAAAGCTCCGTCCCTCTGTGCGCTGCGAGACTTGCAGGCTTCCCGTGCCGCTGATCTGGTAGACCAACCTCAGGCAGCTCCACTCATTCTGTTCCAGAATCGGACTCAACAAGACGCCCGTGGTATCAGCGCGTATCTCTGAGTCGTCGTCGTCGTTCAAAGCAGCATCCACGGCGATGAAATGGCCTGCAGTGTAGGAGGAAATAAGGTGAATGTGGAGAATTTTTTTACATTTTAGGGTTGCAACATATTCCCCAAAAACCTGGGACGGGGTAATGTTTTACCAACGTGTAGGTGGATTTATTTCCCATTCGTCCTTAGTGTGCAGCTTCAGCTTTTTGACAGTTCAGAATTTCAGTTTCCGTACTTTACGCTTGATGATGCGCCACAAATTTTCAATGGCTGACAGGTCTGGACTGCAGGCAGGCCAGTCTAGTACCTGCATTCTTTTCCTATGAAGACACGCTCTTGTAACACGCGCAGAATACGCTTCGGCATTCCCTTGGTGAAAGAAGCTATTTTCCCTGGCCTGGGTGACATGAAATCCGAAATTTCCAAAAACAATTTGAAAGGTGGACTCGTCAGACCACAGAACACTTTTGCACTTTGCATCAGTCCATTTTAGATCAGCTCGGGCCCAGAGAAGCCGGCGGCGCGTCTGGGCGTTGTTGACAGAAATGGCTTTTGTTTTGCACGGTCCAGTTTGAAGTTGCGCCGTCGGATGTTGCGCCCAACTCTGGCCAAAGTTGGAAAAATCTTAACTGTCACGCCATTGCATCAAGAATAACAATTTGCATGCTTACTTTTCACTTTTTACTGGACTGAATGAGAATATGAGCGAGATCAACAATATATCGTTTCCGTTGCAGAGTAAATGACGTCATCCTCATTCATCCGCGAGCTTTGATCACTTGAAATAAACAGAGATGTCACGATTTGATTGCTCACAGCTCTCTTCTCTTGTGCGTCGACTGCAGAGCTGACCCATTGAAAATGCCGAAATGTGCTCTTGCACAGAGTCCAGATGTCGGAGGATGTTGGAGTCAATCGAGACCAGATGTGCTTCCTCTCACCAGCATTAAAAGTGTGAGCCATCTCCATTGAAAAGGCATGCAATAAGTTTTATTTATTTATTTTTTTGGGGGGTCAATTGGAGTCAACTTCCGAGAATGACAAATCAGAGTGCAGAGGATACGTATTAAACAGCCCAATTACCATCGTTGTGGCGGGTCCAGCTGCTAAAGTCTGCATCTGACATGTAACCGCAGGTGTTGGCGTCAAAGTTGCAGGAGCCGGGCAGCAACTGCTTGTACGCTTGGACGGCGGCTTGAGGGGGAGACGGGAGCAAAGTGAGAAAACGGTGAACGGCAAGTATGAATCACAGAAATTGGCATTAAAAAAAGAAAAGAAAAAAAGGCATAACCTCATGCACTAGCAATGGCACCATCATTGAAAAGTACTCACCAGCAAGAACCAAAAGGTAGACTGCGAGCATTGCAATCTTCTGCGGGTTGAATCTCTGATAAGAAAAACAAAACAAATTAAAAAAAAAAACAAAAAACAAAAGAAGAAAAACGTATCCTCTTTGCAGTCTGTCGTCGGAGTGTCTCTCCAGCTCACGGAGTGGCAGCGCACTGTTGGCTGTCCTGAATGTGAAAGTGGGTGTGTGAAGCCGAGTGGAGAGGAGGGGGGGGCAAGGGTGCTCGGGGTGGAGAGAGAGAGAGAGAGAGAGAGAGAGAGAGAGAGAGAGAGAGAGAGAGAGAGAGAGAGAGAGA